CTTTCTTTTGACAAAAGGATGAAGTCTCTATCTGTCAGGGAAGCCGAGATATTGCAAAATAAAAAAGGTCTTCAACTTTTGAACAGCACTTTTTATATAAAAATTAAACCGGTCCTGAAAGGGTTAATACTAAAAAATCGGTTATCAGGTAGATTTTAATTCTTTTCAGAACTCTTAAGCATGCGTTTCACTTTCAAATCGAAAGTTCTACATTAACAAACATTGCAGATCTACTCGAATTTATTTAGGTATTTATCATTATCAATTTAAAGTTATAACAAAGTCTTGGTTTGAAGCTGAGCCTGATCCAGCACTACCGGTCTATCATCGAGATGAAACAAAAAGTAAGTATTCATTCCGTTCAATTATCGCAAGAAAGTGAGGCATTTAATGTGGAAAAAGGTTATCGTACATTGTTTGGAACAAACTGTAGTGGTACTGCGTTTTGGCGGTATCTTTGGGTTTTATTTGCAACACAGTAATTTATTTATTATTGAAAAGTCAATGTTCTGACAGAGTTCATTGCTCTGTTTCTTTTCTGTTTATCTAGTTTTAATGTATGAGCTCGAGTATGATGTACAATATGTATAATTTTTTCTACTTTTTTTCATCTTTAAAGCATTAGAAGAAAATGAAAAAATGGAGAAAGAAGAACTTGAAAATTACGAAAGATTATTAAACGAAGTACGTGAAAGAAATAAGCAACGTGAAGGAGAAGCAACATACACCGAACTATGGTACACATTTGTCGATCCATATGCAGTGGATGTTGATGAACGAGGATCAGATGATGCACATAAAGCTGTGGGCGTATTAACATTTAAAAATGGTAAATATTTGTACACACATTTGTTTGTTGTTACAAGTGAAATGTTGTTTAGGTCAACGAATTATTGACGAATATCAATGGAAATATGATGGTGTTGCACCATTAGTTGAAAATGAAAAATTGATTATTTATGAAATTCATATCGGTGATTTTCAATCACAATTCAAAGATGTTATAGCAAAAATGGATTATTTTCTTCAGTTAGGCATTACAGCAGGCAAGAAAACATAAAACAATCTTTCTTTATTCGTCTTTCAAGATGAAGGTTTGTTTTTTGTTATTTTTTAGTCGAAATAATGCCTGTTAAAGAATATCCTGGTAATCATTCATGGTAGGTGATTAGTATTTTGTATGAAAAAAAATGAAGAAATAAAATTTCTTCATTTTTCTTATGTAGGGGATATACGCCTCGTTATTATTTCGCCGTTGAATCAGCCTATGGTACGACAACTGAATTCAAAGAAATGATCGACACATTTCATAAATACGGTATCCGAGTGATAATTGATGTGGTTTATATGTTGTCGCACCCTAATGTGCACCGCCAGAGAAAAATAAAGATAATCCCACTTTTTTTCGACATTTTTGAGTTAAATATTATGCATTATGGAGTAAAGCGTCTTCTACAAAACAAGACCACTCTCAGCTCTCCAAGACGTTCCGTTGAGGAGATACAAAATTTTTAAAGTTTCTTACTTTACGATAAAAAAACCCTATTTTTTACTTTCAAAACCCTTTTCTCTTCCATTCAGTGCTTGATAAGCTTTTCAAATAGAATATTTTTTGGATAATTATATTTAAATTTTCAAAGTTATGAAAGGAGTTTTCTCACTAATTTTTTTTTATAATTTAACCTTAACAATTTATTAGACAAGGTAATAGAACTGCGATAAAAATCATTTCTTTTCTTTTGAAAATAAAATAAATGATTTTTGTCTCCGTTCTAATAAAGTAGTTTTATTAGTGGATAGAATTCTTTTTTTACATTCGGGTGAGAAATGTGCGTTTATTAAATGATGTGTCAGAAACTGTTTCAGGAAAAAAAGAAAAGTCAGTTTTTTGACAAAAGCTTTCGTTTGCTAACCCTTGACTCTTATCTCATTCAACATCCTATGTGCACCATTGCGATTGAAGTCGAATAATTACACAAGAAGACAAAAAAAAGTTCTTTTTTTGTTGAAAAATCTCAAATGGACAAATCATACCTCTTTTGAGCTAATTCTTTTGCTTGATCAACAATTATTTTTAAAAATTCATCATTGGCTATCTGCGTGGCAGCATCAAAACGTATACCTTTTAGCCCCAAAAAAAGCAACATGCTAAAGCAAATTGATACTAAATATAGTTTAAAGATATTTTACCATCAATATGAAATTCATTTATCATATACATTATTGATTCTCCAATATATTTTCGTGCTGGCCAAACATCATATTTTGGATCATAATGATTATAATTCCATTCTGGTCCCCATGACCAGACTCGATCCTTCGGTTCATGATGGAACCAATAATCATGATCAATAGCTGTAAATGGCATACTAACATCGCAGTGATTATACACCTAAAATACTTCTAGATATATTTTCTAATCTTATCAGCGTTTCACAGTGGGGAACAACGTGGACATGTGGGAAAAAACGAAAGTGAGATTTTTCAAGATTTAAATAGCAGGTCATATACTTCAGCAGATGCTCTATTTTTTTACCATCGGAACATTTTTTGTAAGCGCCATCATAAGTGAGACCATCGCTCAGCAAATTTTTGTCGAAAAACAGTGATGAAAATAGAAAATTTATTTTTATCAGAACACAATACGATATCTAGAAATACAATATACAGTTTAAAACTAGACCTTTCACTCTATCCACTCGTAAAATCTTTTTTTGTAGGATGCATGGGAGCGGAAAAAGTCTATTTTCTTTCTTTCCTCAGTGTTTTCCAAAGGACATACCGCAGTATAGTGCATTTTCCAAATTGTTGATCAAGCAAAAGAATTAGCTCAAAAGAGGTATGATTTGTCCATTTGAGATTTTTCAACAAAAAAAGAACTTTTTTTTGT